TAATTTTGTTTATTTGCATCAAATGTGAGTTAGAAATAGTAAATTGAGAACATAAGAACAGTCCTCGTGGGAATGATAATCCGGACTCAAAAGGTCAAATTTACTACTTGTTACGATATCGTACACTTGCGATATAAAAAACGCAACCACAGAACGTTGTATTTCCCGATCACATTCTACACCTCTCCATGGTAACAATACTAGCACTATTCAAATAGTGGCTAATCTTGTGTATCACGAACGTACCAAAAATATTGAAGTGGAATGTCATTACATTCGAGACGCCTATGATTCCAAGGTCATTGCTCTCCTTCATGTTTCCACTACTCAACAAATCGCAGATATCTTTACCAAATCTCTGACTCGCCTCTATCATAATTTTTTTGTCGGCAAATTGATGCTTGTAACTTCACCAACATAAATTTGAGAGAGAATATTAAGAGTTGATTTAGTTTCCATGTACAAAAAAGGAAAACTACATATAATCAGGGATTTGATTCTGCAACTTTAGTTCCTTTCATATATTTGTAACGTACTATAAATCAAGGAAATACATACTGAAGATTGATTCCGAAATTATTGTCAGTGAGTCCTGCCAAATGCGTAGATGAAAATAAAAGTTTGATCAACTTATAAGCAGTTATAAGCTTTGCCTAAATGCACATGTTAATGCATATCATTGAACATTGTGTAAGCAGGTCGGCCACCAAACAAATAGTGTTTGGGGTCACTCCTGTCCTGATTCTGTCGTCTTTATTTACTTGGTACATATTGTTTTCTTGATCCCGATTGCTTATTAATATTTCCATTTATTTTGATTTTTACAGGTAAAATATGCTACTTCAGACCTTGAAAGGAAAATGGTTTATATTGGTGGCCGTAATGGGTTGCTTAGATTGTGGGATGCAACAATTAACATCTAAGTTCCTCCTCTGTATTGAAGCTTGCTCGTATATGTGCATTTTTGGGTTAGAATAGAAACATTTTGTTTCACATTGATGAGTAATTTGATCTACACGAAGGTTTCACCGTAAAATGTAAAAAGGCTCAACATTTTTATGGGGAGATGTACTCTATATGGGACGAGAACATGTATTGAGTATATACTGTTGATAATTTGTTGTTCAAAACCAAAAGGAACGAGTGTGGAATGAAATAGAGGAACAACCGGAGAAGGCCAAGTTTGGCCCATGCGATCGCATGGACCATTTGGCCATGTGATCGCATGGCCATGATCAGGGACCAAAATCCCTGATCTCGGTAACTCCATGCGACCGCATGGAGTTGTTCCTTGCGGTCTCATGGGGATAAAAACTATCCGTTGGGCAGTTTTTCGGTTTGATTTTTGGAGGCTTTTCACTTCCTTTTTGGCACCACTTCGTAGTGCAATGTTTGATGGCTATAAATAAGTGATTATTGATCATTGGAAATGGTTGGAAAACATATAGAATCACTAAGCCAATTGAGATCAAATATTCATTCCATAAAGAAAGAAATCTATTCTTTCTTCATCCATATTCAAATCTCCCTTTGAGTTCTTGAAGTTTTGGAGAATCACACACGTGCTTCAGTGTTGAATTCTTTACAAGGCTTGATCAATCCTACAAACCATTTACAGACTTGATCAATCCTACAAACCATTTACCGAAAAACCCTTTAAGCACCAATTTATATAAGAGAGGGGGCTAATATCGTTTGAGGACAGCGATTCATTATTCGTGTTTGAGCCTTTCTTCTCACTTCATTGGAGTTCCTGATTTCGGTTCGTGGTATGTTGCTACAATCTTGTTGTGGAAGATCTATGTTCGCAATGATAGAGACTTCGATATGAGGAAACAAAAAGATAAGTTTATCTTCTTCGTTTGTTTGTTTTTCGTTGTTGAATTGACATTTGGACTTAGTTTTGTTCATCATGTTGCTAATCATAATCTTGGTTTCTTCTCCATTCCTCTCATAGGGAAAATATTCACAACATATACTTCAAAAATTTCATCTATTGAAATGGTATGTTCAAGAGCAGAATCTTAGCTCAAGTCTACAACCACACATCTTTACGTTTTAGTAGGCATTTGCTTTAAATAACAACAGTCTCTGTATTCTTATGACACATTTTTATGTGGAAAAGGAACCCTTTGTCGAACAGGACAATTGGGCACGATCAAGTTAAAGATCTGATCAACGAAAAATCATCAAAATTGAGTGATGAACTTTTTGGCGAGGGGATTACAATTCATTGAGACTTTGAAAGTTCATTGAGACTTTGAAAGGAGTGTTCATTTAATTTAATAACGAAAGTTTTATATGTAGTCGAAGACCTTTTGATAGCTACGGATCACAAAATAAACACTAAAATCGTGACATACAGATTGTTATCAACTTATATTGAATTGCTCTACATATAGTTCCTTCCTTGAATTACATTTTCTAAAGAAAATAGAGCAGATTCGAAATTGATCTTGTAACCTTATTTTTCAAGTGATTCATATCGTCGAATGTATCTATTCTAAATTTCAGTTCAATTAAATTACCCGTGCCTGCCAATATATTGTGACAACAAAATTTTTTTCTGGGGTACATCAAGGTTGAATCTCTAGTTTATGTTCTATCAATCAATTCTTCCCAACTCACATCTTTGTTGAAAGAACTTTTGTAATTCCTTACCTATAGAATTGAATCAGTATATGCCGAATTCCCTCCTACACGAGAAAATTGTCGATAAATTTCAAAAATGACGTGAATTCCATGATAACACTGTTTAGAATCTCTCTTTAATTGGAAGTCATAGTCGATGATAAATACTAGAATAGACATTGTTTTTCCTACTCACACTAGCCCATGTCCTCGTGTTTCTATCAATCTCTAATCCCAATCTTCTTCCCCAATTGGAAGTCATAGTCGATGATAAATTTTATTACATGTTTGTATTTTGTTATCCTGTCTAATCATATCCGATATAATGTACCACTCTACTGACGGAGCCCGAGCTTCAATCAGAAATATACATTAATTAATGAGGAAATACTACTTTGATGCAGCATTCTCAAATGTGTGCCTAAGCGACGAGGCGTAGATGAAACACTTTACCTTGACAGAAGCACAAATTAAGCCATCAATTATCAAGTTGACCGCTTAATGAGTGCCTAGGCACATCTAGGCGTAGGTGTGATTTATTAATTTTTTAAAATTCTTTTCCATTTTTTTAAAAGCATTTTATTTGAATTTAGTTTATTATTATTTTTCATTCCTTTTTTTAAAAGGATTTTATTTGGCTTAGTTTCAATTTTTTAAATGACTTTATTTGTATAAAAGTAAAAAATGAATTTATCCGATAAAGATTTAGATAAGATTTAATTTACGGTCTATCTATATTATGTAATTATGATTTAGAGAATTTATCATTTTATTGAAAATTTTAAAAGTATGTATGAAGTTTCTATAAATTTATTAAATAGGACTTGTTTAGTTGACCCATGAAAACTGTATCTCAATATCCAAGTTAATACAATACTGCCTTGATATCTTCATTGTGGATCTTCAACAAAAAGGTAAACTACGAACCTACCAACCCGATCTAACTTGATTAAGTTGGATTGGGTTGAATTTATATCAAATCGAATAAGTTGGGTTGAGTTTGGTTTGAGTAAAAAATCGATTCAACCAACGCATAGTCATACTTTACACTTTTTAGAACACTAGTATTTATAATTTTGAATGTTTGGTATGTATTATTATAATTACTAAATAATTTTTAGAATGATTAAAAAATTAAAATAATATTATAAATAAGAAAACGTATTTTTACGCTTTGACATTTCTTAAACTCGTAAAACTTGAAACTTCACATCCACACCTATTCACAATTTACGATTATTAGAACACTGCTTTGATATATAAACCATTGGGATAACAATGAAAGCGATCGAAACTCTTTTGGCTTAGTTTTTTTGTTATTGGTACATCATATATGATAAAAAAAAAAACAAAAACAAAAACGACAACGACAACGACAACAAAAACGAAGCACAATGTGCTTCAAATCTTAATTTTCATTTTTTTTTTTGCTTTTATATCCCTTTCCATTAGGTGGAGAGAACCAAGTGAAGCGTCCTTCAAGTTAAGTATTATCATGTGAAGTGTCAGAAGAATTTCATATTGGATACTATATATTGTTCCACCTGCTAGATTATAGCGTTCGTTCAAGCACAACGAGAAGAAAGTTAACGAATCCTTATCCTCCTCTGAGAAGTAAATGCTGCTACTTGTACCGAGCATTTTTACTTTGATTGTTGGATCTCTAGGATTTACTCCATAAAAAATTAGCATAAACGTCTTCTTTATCCTTAATTGAAAACTCTAGAAACTTACATCAAATCGATTATGAATGACTGAGAAATGTTGAGGATCAATTTAGAGTGATTTAAAGATATAGACCAAGACTGCAAAGAAAAAATGATGCAAGCTAAACAAAAGAAGAAACCAGGGGACCAAACAGAAACAGAGAGGAAAATAGGGGGTCTATGATAGCAAAACCCCCAAGGTTGTGATTGCGATTATTGTTATTTCTGGAGCAGCTCCCAAATCTTGTGCACTGTGCAATCCCAGTCCCTATACTTTTGCATTCTCACAATTTGGTTCCGATTAACTCAATCATACACTTCGTGAAAATCATCTACTGCACGGATTTGACCTAAATCTTGTCCTATATATACACACACACGAGCTAGAGAGAAGCAAAAGAGGAAGTTTAGAGCTTCAAATACAAAAATTCCACATAGTCAAGAATTCCATTTTCTTTATATATAATACAAGTCATCGATCATAAATATGTCTATTTCAAAACATTTAAGAATTTCAAAATTTATTACAATAGTCAAATCCCACTCTCTAAAGTAGCAACTTAATTTAAAGCCAGAAGAAATCATTAATTTGCAAAGGATAAAACATCAAATATAGAAATTAAACAAAGGGAGATTTGTCTTTCAATTGTTACATTAAATAATTTATGGTCCCATCCTTTGCCCCATTGGAGCCGCCATAGGAAACTGCTGTTGCTTCTGCTGCTGCTGCACTGCCACATTTCCCAGCCACCCTAACCAAAAGAACAGGATTCACCTTTAAAGGACTTATTTGAAAGATTTTAAATTTATTTTTCCTTGAGAGACAGAAAGAGGATTATCAATTATGGGACCAAAGTAGTATTTTCCAATAAATAATAATGTTTGAAAAAACTAATAAAAACGTTTTACTATAAGAATAATACTATCAAAGTTTTTTTTTTTTCTTTAATGGAGTTAAAAGTTCAATCTGTTATGCAGATTTGTGAGAGGACCACCTTTGTATTTGCCGATGAAACAAATAATAAGACTGGTTTGATATAAAATTTTTTTAGATATAAATTTTGTGAAAACTGATTTTTTTTTAAATATGTGATTAAAAAGTAGGGAAAACTTACGGACCCACATGCAAAACTTTTTTTTTTTTTTTT